ATGTATCTAGGAGATCTCAGAGACTGATTTTCGGCCCCAAGTAAGCAATAAATGTAAGTCACAAATTCACAAATTGGAATTGAAAAAATAAATCTCCATTCATAATATTACAGTTATGATCAAAGATAACTAATCAAAATAACTTTGTTACATGTACTTCACTGATAAGAGTGTCAAAAGAAAGGATCTTAAGAGTCTTGAATGCAACGTTAAAATACCTCCTAATTTGAAAAAATGAGTACTTTAACAAAATTCCGAAATTGTGTTAAAATATATATTTTCTCCCCCAAATTGCCCAAGTTCAGAGTCCAAGAGTCCCTGCTACGATCAATCATTCCAACCCGTTATAAGCAAAGTACAGGCGTCTCCGTATTCGTCAGTCCAACTGTACCATGAAAAAGATATATTTGAAAAGATATATATACACTAATATGTGTAATATCCACTTATATCACTACCTGGATAAAAGCTTACATCAATTATGTATCGGAAGACTCTCACACTGTTGACAATGTAACTATGTGACGCATGGCACACTGGATTAGCGTTCACGTCATACAGGACAACTCAGCATTGATTATGAAATGTAATAAACAGAAGGGACATGTTTATTAATTATTAACTGAGATGTAAGTTGAAACACTGACAACAGCAAAGGAAAATGAGTTTATATTGTCAATTATTTACACGTGCATTTATGTTCCTTATTACATGATAATATATTTTCGTCGAAATGCTTTTTATAAAGGTTGGTAAAACTTAAAATTTTGTTTTAGGGCTTGAATACTACTCAACATTTGCTGAGGACAAAGCCATCTTTTGTCAACGATGTGATCCTTAGCAAATGTCGAGTGGTATACATAAAGGAGTATTGGAAGGTGGGATAGCCAAGTGATCAAGGGTGTGATCGCCATGCTGAAACCCAACATGGCCACTTAATATGCCCCGATGTTCCCCTGACAGCTGAAATATTGCTGAAACCCCTACTCTATACCTAGTGTAAGTACACCATGCATGCTAAAGTGTGTCCATCCCCATTAAAGTACGTCATGCACGCTAAGTGTATATCCCTTGTATTAGTACATAATGCATGCTAAAGTGTGTTCTAAGTGTGTGCTAAATTAAACAGGGGCGGTCGGGTAGCCTAGTGGTTAAAGCGTTCGCTCGACACGCCGAAGACCCGGGTTCGATTCCCGACATGGGTACAACGTGTGAAGCCCATGTCTGGTGTCCCCCGCCGTGATATTGCTGGAACATTGCTAAAAAGCGGCGTAAAACCATACTCACTCACTCACTCAATTTACACAGGTACTTGCAGATGTTGAGTACAATTGTGGTAAATGAAAACTACTTATGTTTTATCGAAGGTATTTTAATCCAACTGGACCAAAGAAGAAGACTCTTTAAAACAAAAGAAAACTAGACAATAGAGCACTGATGAAACTAAATCAAGTATTATTCCTGTTAATATGCTTCGAATACATAAGGGATAGCTAAACAGCACCACGGCCAAAAAATTCACCAATAACTAATGCAAGCAATCTGCCAACAAAATACATACAACTCTAAAGAAGTTAAAGAACTATCGATTTTGTCACATGGCAATAGTTCATCTGTCATGGCCAACTCCATGGCCACAGCAGACTAACTATAGTCCTATGAGACTATCGGGATTTCTCCAACTCCATAGTCCTGGCAGACTAACTATAGTCCTATAAACTATCGGGATTTCTAAAACTCCATGGCCACAGCAGACTAACTATAGTCCTATGAGACTACCGGGATTTCTCCAACTCCATAGTCCTGGCAGACTAACTATAGTCCTGTAAACTATCGGGATTTCTAAAACTCCATGGCCACAGCAGACTAACTATAGTCCTATGAGACTACCGGAATTTCTCCAACTCCATAGTCCTGGCAGACTAACTATAGTCCTGTAAACTATCGGGATTTCTAAAACTCCATGGCCACAGCAGACTAACTATAGTCCTATGAGACTACCGGGATTTCTCCAACTCCATAGTCCTGGCAGACTAACTATAGTCCTATAAACTATCGGAATTTCTAAAACTCCATGGCCACAGCAGACTAACTATAGTCCTATGAGACTACCGGGATTTCTCCAACTCCATAGTCCTGGCAGACTAACTATAGTCGTGTAAAATATCGGGATTTCCCCAACTCCATAGTCCTGGCAGACTACCCATAGTCATATAAACTACCGGGATTTCTCCAACTCCATAGTCCTGGCAGACTTACTATAGTCGTGTAAAATATCGGGATTTCCCCAACTGCATAGTCCTGGCAGACTACCCATAGTCATATAAACTACCGGGATTTCTCCAACTCCATAGTCCTGGCAGACTTACTATAGTCATATAAAATATCGGGTTTTCTCCAACTGCATAGTCCTGGCAGACTTACTATAGTCGTGTAAAATATCGGGATTTCTCCAACTGTATGGCCACAGCAGACTGACTATAGTCAGATAAAATATCGGGATTTCTCTAAGTCCATAGTCCTGGCAGACTAACTGTAGTCATATGAAACTGTCGGGATATAAACTATTTTAACAATGGGTGTTCTTTAACTTCTTTTCAGTAGTATATGTTGCTTAATCGAACGTTAACATAATCACTCAGTTTGCTTTGCCCAATATGTCAGTACATAAGATACAATGGCAGCATTATATAACACGACATGCCCTATTGTTACTGTTCAAACAATATTACTGGCCAATTCAGGAAGTACACCTGTACATATATGGCACGGGGAAATTTATACCTCCTTATAGATAAGCTTCCGGGCCTATAATAACGCTTTCTTTGTGGTTTAGTTAGGGTGTTATTTATTCATATATTCGAACTTATGTTAGTGGAATGTGGTAAAGTTTGGAATTCATCAATCGGGAACTTGTCTTTCCGGACAGTTGTACTATCTGGGCACTGAAGGATTTACTCTTCGCTATCTACATGGAGCTGGATACGTGACACTCCATCACTTTTATAATTTTGAAAACGTGGTTTTTCTCTACTCCTGGTATTCTTCACTTGACAAACTCGTTTATCCGGACACATACTCGGATTAACCAGGTTTGACTGATCATGTTTGGCGAACATGTACAAAGCGTCAGAACACATTTCCGAAACATGATTTCTTTTACAAACTAAAGTCATATTCATTAAACGGGATTCATTCATAGCTGTAGTGAATGAACAATGCCAAACATGATTGTTCTGAAATATAAGCTGATATATCATGTGTAAGAGAACGTATATGTTGTTTTACGCTGCTGTTATATACATTCACGAAATATATATCACGGCGGACACCACATAGGGACTTCGCACATTATGTACCCATGTAGGGAGTCGAACCAAGATCTGAGGCGTGACCAGCAAACACATTAACCACTAGGCTGCCCCACCGCCTCTCTGGTGAATACAAGGATCAAGGTACACCGGTGTGTGTGTGTGTGTGTGTGTGTGTGTGTGTGTGTGTGTGTGTGTGTGTGTGTGTGTGTGTGTGTGTGTGTGTGAGAGAGAGAGAGAGAGAGAGGGGGGGGGAGGGGAGAGAGAGACACACACACACAGACACAGAGAGAGGGGGGAGAGAGACACACACACACACAGACACAGAGAGAGAGGGAGAGACAGAGACACACAGAGAGACACAGAGAGAGGGAGAGAGAGAAACAGAGGGAGAGAGAGACACAGAGAGAGATAGAGAGAGGGAGAGAGAGAGAGAGGAGGAGGAGGAAATAATATTTTTGATAGTGTCACATGTTATATACTACGAGACTCTAGGTATAAATAACATCATATGTATAACGTCATGATCAGGATAAGATAAATATAGACATATACCAACACGATGATTGAAGTAATTTTAAGTTAGGAAAGTCGTTGAACACAAATACGCACAGGCACATGCAGACGCACACGCCAAATTACTTACACAGCCACGCACGCACACAATCATACACAAACACGTAGGCACATACACAGGTACAAGGTACACTTGGGAACATGCATACTGTCAGGATCATAATCACATACACTATAGGCATATGCGTACCCTTCCATTACATATCTTCCGACCACACCCCTCCCTCACTCCCTACACGCGGTCGGGTAGCAGAGTGGTTAAAGCGTTCGCTTGTCACGCCGTAGACCTGGGTTCGATTCCCGACATGGGAACAATGTGTGAAGCCCATGTCTGGTGTCCCCCGCCGTGATATTGCTGGAATAGTGCTAAAAGCGGCGTAAAAACCATACTCACTCACTCACCCCTACATACACATATAACATGTGGTCTTGCAAACTAAGTACATACCCCAACACATACATGTGTAGGTAACAAAATGTATGTATCAATCCTCCGATCATAACAAACACTATGTACCAATGCCACTGATTGTACAATAGCCCAGTTGAGCTCCGGGTTAGAATTGATCTTCTGTAACCCCTGCTTATCGTAAGAGGCGACTAACGGGATCGGGTGGTCAGGCTAGCTAACTTGGTTGATGCGTATCATCGTACCCAAATTGTGTAGATTATGCTCATGATGTCAATCACTGAATTGTCTGGTCACGATTCGCATATTTACAATACCAGCCAGCTGTGTAATTTCCTATTTAGTACAGATAACGCGGTTTCTGTTTTGTAAAAAAAAAGTTAGTGAGTTAGACTTTACGGCATTTTATTTATATTCCAACAATATAATAGCGGTGACACCACGACTGAGCTTCAAACAGTGTACCCATGCGGGAAAGCGTTAACCGGCCGTAACAGCAAAGAGCGTACGATCCACTAAAAAGATTAAAGTGCGATACATGTTAATATTTACTACGCTATTCAAGCAAACGTATATAAACTTATATCTATACGCTATCTACTTAGTGGATAGTCTATCACAACGTACAACGCTTGTCATCACACATGTTCTGATATTTGAGTTTATTGCACTGTTGACTTTCCACACACTAACTATACGGTTACCTTTGTAGCCCCCGTGTGGTCGTCTCCCGTTACTGATGCCGGCGCGATGAGCCTGGTCACGTCCTTCAAACGACAAGTCCAGATATCGCAGCCTTGGCTTCTTGGCACATTTGTTCTTGTTGGTCATTTTGGGAGGAATAACGTCATTTTGCGAGAGGCATTTAACTCCAGACGCCGTCACATTCTTGCGGCGATCAGTCGGCGACTTGCCTCGACTGTAGCGGGGAGCTGATTGAGCGATTACACAGCCGCCATGTTGTTTACTGGTTGTCAATGGTAATGGCTTTACCCGGACGGGGGACAAAAACCAGCTGGTTCTATTGACAAAGCCCTAAGCGCTCACAAACTCAGATCAGTGGCACGGTACTGCCTGCCGGGCTTGGTAAGTCACTTACCGCAAAATTGGCCGTTCCTTATCGCTGGTGTTTTATGCGGTGTAAATGCCCTTCCGACCAGGTAAGCCTGTAGGTATAGATCGTTGTTGGGACATTGCGCTGGCTGAATATACGGAGATATATCATTCGGATCCGTGTCACTTGCTAAGATCTGCCAGTGAGGTGACGCTTTGTAAAGAAATGCTTGAATCTCTGGGAAATTCCACAACTCATGTACTATTGGATTTACAAGTTGACTATAGAGCGGGTGCTGACATTTGGATTTTATGAGACCACATGAGTTTTGAGTTATCTATAAGTATTTGGACAGGGTTACTTCAAAAAGGTAATTTATGTAAATCAACATGAAAGTTATCATTTGACGGGGTGTATTTAAATTTTGAAAAATTAATTTCTCATATAGTAAATAAGTCTCTGTGTTGATGTATCTGCTTGTTGTTCTACTTGAATGCAGTCGTGTTTGTTTGTTGTTTAACGCCACACTCAATATTGCACCAATATGACTGCGGCATGTAAGTAATCGAGTCTGAACCAGACAACCCAGTGATTGACAGCATGAGCATCAAGCCACACCGTCGGAGTATGATAACACACAATCAATTCACCAAGTCAACGAGCCTGACCACCCTATCGGTTTAGTCATATCTTACAACCAGCAAAGGCTTCAGGGGACCTAGATTCCTACATGGAATCCCCTCGGGGCAAAGAATAATGATTTACCCATGCATATACAATTATGATAAAGAAAATGTGATTTTCTGATTTTTTAGAACTTTGGTGGTGTTTTGTTTTTCACAGGTTATTTGGTAGTTCATTATGAAACGCATCGGTAAAATAATCGAGTCTGGACCAGACAATCCAGTGATTGACATCACGAGTATCGATCCACGCAATTGGGATACGATGACATGCATGAACCAAGTCAACGAGCCTGACCACCCGATTCCCTCAGTCGCCTCTTACGACAAGCATGGGTTGCTGAAGACCTATTCTACCCTGGATCTTCACGGGTGCTTTACGTTTTTAATTATGATTAGATACACTATAATGGCTACATTTTTTAAAAGGCTTGAACTCTCTCCTCCCATGTAACGAGCCAACGGAATAAGCTCAGCGCGACCAAGCAGCTTTCTGTTCTTTGGGGGTGCTAGAGTAACCTCCCTTCGGAAACGATAAGCACACGTACGGTGGGCGCAGGTTTGGAAGAGGTTTTTTAGGAACTTTCCAACTTCATTCAAACGTCCGCTCCACATTTTGCCACTTACATTGTGACCATGTCGGCTATCGATATTTCGAGGTACGCGCGCAATGTTTCCCAGGTAGGTGAAGCGCCCTACAATCACAGTAACACGCCATGCCCATCGATGTTCCGAGCTTTGCCAGGTTTGTGTGTTGATTGAAAATGGAGATCCCTTCAAAATCACTCAATTCATAAAACATATGATGCCAAAGTAGGCGACTAACGGGATCGTTAACATTGAAAGTTATTTAATTTTTTTGCAGTAGGTTTAACTGAAATGACTTTCCCACTGCTTCTGATGTCATCGCAAATACGCCTGTTTGGGTCTAAAAGCATGAAAAGCATGCAGACTGTGTTTGTTTGTTTGTTTGTTTCTTTCTTTGTTGTTTTACGTCGCACCCAGCAATATTCCAACTAAATGACGGCGGTCTGTAAATAATCGAGTCTGGACCAGACAATTCAGTGATTGATCGCATAAGCACCAATCCATGCAAATTGAGATACGATGACATGCATCAACCAAGTCAGCGAGCCTGACCACCCGATCCCGTTACGACAAGCATGGGTTGCTGAAGACCAATTCTACCCCGGATCTACACGGGTTCCATGGTTTAGTGGTGGAGCATGTGCCCTGATGGCGGAACAACCGTAGATCCCCGGCCGTTTCATACCAAAATTGTTCAAAATACCTGGCACTCGGAATTAAGGTGATAAAACAAGGACTGGTCGGCTCGGCGTCTGTATCTGAGACGGGTATCCATGTCGAACTGCGGCAATGCATCTCACTGGCCTAGCAATATAATACGCTGCTTAAATTACCTTACCCTATGATCTAACGTATCCATGGTAACACTGTTCTATCATGACTATCAATCAAGATGGCGCATCCTCATCAATTAACGACTGTCGAAATTAAACTTGTCGAATAATTGAATTTTATTCCCTGGGAAGAAATATGGCAAGGTGGTCACCTCCATCTCTCATGCCGCGGGGTTTTGCCAACATAAATGTATTTAAACCTCAGTGTACGTTCCACAGCAGCACCAAGTTGTCGAAGGGCGTTGGTGCTCTCAGGCTTACTGTATGATGTCTCTGGGCACATTGATGAGCATTCTTGAAAATACTTATAACCAGATGTACACCTGTCCCGTAGTGTTGGGGGCGGTCGGGTAGCCTAAAGGTTAAAGCGTTCGCTCGTCGCGCTGAAAACCCGGGTTCGATTCCCCACATGGGTACAGTGTGTGAAGCTCATTTTATTAAAAAATAGACTTTAAGCATATATACTTGTGCTATACTACATCGATAACAAAATATTCAGTATATCTTAAAAAATAGATCTGTCCTTGAAATAAAACCAAATCATAAACTGTCCTGTGTACATTGCAAAAACCCTGATCATGTTGAAATAATTATATTTAAAAAAGCAAAGGATATAGATTTAGAACTAATATCCAATAATTCGTAGATCAATATCAAATATGAAAATACCATGATGATATCAAACCTGAAGACACAAGTTGACATGAACAAACAATGCGCTCGAGATTGTTTATTGAGATATTGATGGCGGTGGTGTAGCCTAGTAGTTAAAGCGTCCGAACTTCGCGCTGAACACCCGTGTTCGATTCCCACATGGGTACAATGTGTGAAGCCAATTTCTGGTGTCCCCCGCCGTGATATGGCTGTAATATTGCTAAAAGCGGCGTAAAACCATACTCACTCACTCACTCACTGCTCAGTGTTGCGCATTTGACAAGCATACTACAGTCAAACAAAAAACGATCTCTCTTCCTCCGCCATACCATACCCCGACCGTCGTTTTACGTCGGTAACGGTATCAGGAGGGCAACCTATTCAGAAAGAACACCATTCCATGGCTTGCAGATTCTGCAGTCTGCTAACTATACTGGTGGAAACAGAGTCGCAATCTTTATAACAGACCACATCTCAACTCACAATAGCCTACCTAAAATAATTTTCGTTATAACGGAAAAAAGATTCGTTATTACAAAATAAATTCGTTTTTACGAAAAAAAGATTCGGTATTACAAAATAAATTCGTTATTACTTAAAAAGATTCGTTATTACGAGAATAAATTCGTTTCAACGGAAAAAAGATTTCTTATTACGAAAATAAGTTTGTTATAATGGAAAACAGATTCGTTATTACGGAATAAGGAAAAAGATTCGTTATTACGAAAAAAAGATTCGTTATAACGAAAATATTTCTGTTATAACGAATTTATTTTCGTAATAACGAGTCTTTTTTTCGTAATAACGAATCTTTTTTTCCGTTAAAACGAAATAATTTCCGTAATAACGAATTTGTTTCCGTTTTAACGAATTTCTTTTGGTGTCTTTTCCATATTTCAATTTTGTCCCCAATAGGCTTTCGTAATAACCAGCGACACAGAACTTGTTCAGTGCTTACATGTGTTGGCCCCGCCCCAAAGTGCGCCAGTGGAATCTTTGGAGTCACGAGATTATACTGCAGCAAATTAATATAAAACAACTCACATTTAATTCCTTCTCATTGCTGCCTGGGATTAAGGAAACTTACACATTGAACGGATAATACAATATGACTAAGTTAACAATAAACTACCCATGTTGGTGGTGTTGTTATGTGTAAAACGTTCCTAACGTAAGGGTGCAGGCAAGTAGGTGGACCAGCCCAAGTAATAAAGTTTGCTGTGTCGTCCATCAACAATAATTTTGGTGGCACCCATGTTTCCAAAATTGATTTTATTAAACACACAATCACGGGACAATTCTTGATTATCAAATAATAATTGACCTGAACTAGAAATTCCAGTATTGTCATGTCCGAATAAAACTGCTTTCTTTATTGTCATCATGTAATTTTGTGACCGTCGAAATTACCTCACTCTAACCGTATCCGTATAAGCGAGAGACATCTTGGGTAATGTTGAGATATGTTGTCAAAGGATACCTGTGATAGTATCCTTTATGCCGAGATTTCTATTGGATATGGAAAGGGTTTCATCCCTTTATCTAATCAAAATCTCTCTCTCTCTCTCTCTGTATTGTATTTTTAAACGTGAGTCAAAACGGACACAACCTTGATATCTCTTCGTTGTTAAACAAAGAGAGCATTGCATGCAACAAACATATCTCGAAGGGCTGTATTCCGAATTATCTCCCCTGAAAACTTGTATAACCAGCAGATGGCGAACCAATACATTCAGAATGTTGGCCTCTCAGCCCATGATTCTCAGTACAAGCAATTTAAGTGAAAGATAATATATAAACACATTATCGTAAATGCCATTACAAATGTATGCTTGTTAAACAACAAACAAACAAACAAACATTACAAATGAGTATAAACCAAATACAACAAACTTCTCATCTCCCGGCAGTTACCTGTCCTGAGTGATAACATTACACAATACTCGTCAAGATCCGGGTTTCAATAGGTCTTCAGCAACCCACGCTTGTCGAAAGAGACGACTAACGGGATCGGGTGGTCAGCATTCATAAATATTAAACAAAAGCGTTCTGATCCATATTAAAATAAGAAGAATTTACTCTATAATGGGACTACATCAAATTTCAAAACACAGTAGGTTTATTTCCTAAATAAGCCACGCTTGGTTCGTCATTGTTCTTTGGGAT